TGTCAAATGGCTGTTATGGTCTTTTTACTACCCATTATTTATGCAGCTTCCGTCAGTTTACTAAGGCTACTTCTCTGCGACTTCAAAGTACTTAGATGACCGCCAAAACTGATCTGGTGGTCAGATATTCCGGAGTGCATTATTCGAGTCACCAAGTTTTCCATAAGAAAACGAACGGATAGCATCTGAGGATTTTGGAATGGCTTGCAAAATCACTGGTGGCAGTAGACAGCCACCGTATGATAAGCTGTAAAGAAACCTGTCAAAAGTTTGTTTTATCATACACAGACCATTAGCACTTATGCATAAATAAAACTTTACTACGCACCTACAACTTCGTCTTTAGTGCCTATCTGATACCCAGATGCCATTAGGCGAAACAATAACTTTACTACCTAAGTTTGTTGTGTTCATTTCATCTTCCATAAGTGTTTCTGTCTTGTACTTCCTGAAAATTTGATTTTTTGTCATTCGACTGTGCAAATATTCTATTTCTTTTGTTTCACTGCCGAAAAATTGAATCGCCTACAATTTTATTCAAGCAAAAACTTCATTTACTTTAAGTGAAACGGTGAGTTCCTTAGCTAACAGTACTTGGATCTGCACTCAGAGTATTTTGGTGTTAGACAAATATACCTTACTTAAACGTCCTGTAAATCCTCCGAAGCACTGCCTGGTTGGCAACGATTTGACAACTGTCACCCGCGAAGGGAAAAAACTTCCATGATACTTTGCCCCGACATGCAATCCTCTTACTCTGAATGTTGCTCGCTCATCAAAACGGGGACGTGAAAGTTGGATTTACGGAGAAAAATACCAGCAATATATAAAAATAGTTAAACCGTTATGACACCATTACACTCAAATGTTGTTCCATAACGAGAGATAAGAAATTTTTCAGAAGATACAATTTAGACTCACAATTCGTCATCAAATACATTAATACACAAAGATGGCATTTCTTACGGTGTTCACGACTATCAAAGGGTCAATATTTTTCCAAGATTTTATGGTTTCTCAACGGTCCCATGCCAGTTTGCCAACCATATGCTATGGGTAGATAGTTCTTTCCTGGTCGTGAGTCTTGGGCGAATCACATTCAATGGATGAGGTCGATTCTTCCTGGTCGCGCTGTTATGTAGAAGCGACGGAACAGCTGGCGCACCTGTAGTGTTTATCGGCGCGATTCTTCCGCAGGTCAAAGGGTCGCCCTGCACGAAGGTCAAAGGGCTCACCACAATACTATAGTATACTACCATAATAGGTAGTTGTAAGGTAGGGGTAGGCAATGGATTGCATAGAATGACAGGGAAATGTGAGACTATACGGTGTTACTCAGCTGTAGATGTTGCCTCTGAAAATACAGTATTCCCAGCTACTGGGCTCTTGATGCATCTGAATGCCGCACAGTGAGCTATATGAACAAACGTCATACGTGCGAATAAAGTGCACGGGAAACGAACATCATATCAGCAATTGCTCATCCGTTTCTTTCCGTCCCATTTATAATCAGGGGTGGCCATCAACCTATCTTTGCGGATGCATGGTCCATGACAGGAGCACAAATCTTCAGCCAGGGTAAAGTGCCAACGAGCCAAAATAACGATGTTCGACGTCAGATGTGCTTCATAATACCCCGAGCAACAGACACGCTCGTGCGCTGATGAATATTCAATCCCAATTAGTCGCTTCTTGCATAATGCTCACCTTCCTATGCGCTGGTTCAGTGGTTTTCATGTCTCTTGTCAGGCAAACTTTTGTATCATGTGAAGAGTGACCAAAATTGCTAAGAAAATCAAGGGCAGGCATTCATTCAATATGCATGGCTGCCCTGGGAGTGAATCATGCTCTGACAGAATCGGTTAGTTTCTGAATGACGAATGACACCTATCAAAACACCGAGCCACCGAGAATAACCTATAACGTATTTAGGCAAGGACCACAAAATGTACGCGGTAACTCTACGGTGCAACTCATTAATTTGCCTTACGTCTTGCAAAATACAAAACCAGCCCGCAGAAATTATGATATAAATCTTACAGAGACTGTTCACTCAATTAACTCTAACTCTGATTAGCAACTCCACTGCTGAATGACAAATTCATCACATGAATGGCAACTGTTTCTGAAGAAAGATTATTTACAGCGTTGAACAGAAAATGTTAAAGTATATTTTCCTGCGAACTTGGCAATTAATATGGAATCAGATTAATTTTCATCTTTGTGACGAGGAGGCATGGTTGCTTCGTGCATCTCCATCAGATGAAAAATGGACTCGAGGCGAAGAGATTCCAATTTGTACCGGGTAATGAACCCTTGGATGATCAAATTCGCACCTAGGTCTATTTTAGTTGAAAATGTTTAATCTCAAAATTTAACAACACAAGTTTCTCCTACTGAACTACACGAACAGCGGTGCAAGCACATCCATGAATAAATCTAAATTATAACTTGGTGCAACTGTTCGCGATATTTATTTAATAGAGGGAGCCTTTTAATCTGGCTGCTTTGCAACCCTTTGATTTGGTGAAGAGTCTGGGTGATGTTCAACCACAGATAGATGTGTCAGCTATTCTCGAGGGTCAGATTCGCGTCCGCTTAAAGATGGTGAGGTGATCAGGAAAAAACGGCCACAACTACTGAAGCTGATTAGCCAACGGCGCACGAACAGACAAGGACCGTTTCGGCCTAACATATGACTAGCCACATGGTCAGCACAACCAGGAAGAAACTGTCAAATCTTGGACATCCATTGGTTCCTTGACCATTACGAACGCTACAGCACAGACCATCTCTGTGTATTCGATATACTGACCATACGTGAGTATGGTATACTTCTGATACGTGTGTTGGTATACTTCTGAGTCGCAGTCGAGTGCCGAATAATTACACATTCATAATATTTCGACTGACCGATGTCAGTCTTGAACACGTTCAACGAAACGTTGCTGTTGTGTTATTACGAATAAGCATCTTGAACAGTCACACAAATAGATAATATGTATGCACATTCGTAGCATAACAAATTTAGAAGATATGCATAGAAATACCGACTTTACCGATTATTGTCAGGGACGTAAACACCGGCTGCGGGCGCGCCAAACGTTCGTTGCATAACTGCAGAGTAAAACAAGATTGCCGCATTTCGTAGCGGCCAATGGCCACTACCCAACGACGCGATGCTGGCCACCAGGGCATCACCGATGAAAGGTCCGACAAACTTGTGAAAAACCGATTCGCGAAAAATCATCCGCAGTATGTTCAGGCAATGAACCTAAAACGAGTTGAAAGCTTTATGGGAGTCCACCGGTTACCGAGTGAATCGAATCTCCAAGGAACGCTATCTGAAGCAAAAAGAGCATCATAGTAAGTAGAGATAAATAATTCCGTTCACAGACGAATGCTCAACGATCCGTACGCAAGTAGCGGAACCACCCTGATATCCTTGGCGTGATGGCACATGAGGTGCCTTCGAATCTACGTAAGAAGCAATATTACTTTTAACCACGAATTTCCCTGAATCCTTGAATTATCTATATGTTGCTTCGGCGTAACCAGCCGAGAAACGGGGGGATGTGCAAATAATAGGGACAGCATGGTGTTCGGTTCTGGTCATTTCAGAATGGACGAAGAGTACGGTAATGCTGTCCGAAGCGAGCGCCTCATAGGGCTGAACCTCGCCTTGACACACCTCATAGCTGACTATTCAGTTCAATAATCAACACAAGGTGCAACGTGGATTTCTAATTTCTCTCTTTCATATGCTTGGAGAATAGTAATTTTTGTCTGATATCAATTCATGTATTAATATTGTTTCAGATTGTTTCATTTTTAAACATTTTACACTTTGTTGTTCGATTGTGCAGTATTTTCATTTCTCTATCGTTCAGCAGCTGAAAAATGTAAATTTTTTAAGTACTACAAAGCAGTAGGCTTAACTAAACCAAAGTAGTCAATCCACTGAAAGAAGTGAAAGCCTGTTGCTCTTCTATACCCTTTCGTGATTGGGCCATCCTTGATGCCCTTTCAATTCAACGAATTAATGATGCGCGCCGATCTCCATTTCAATGTCATCAGATAGGAGTGCTTAATTTTAAAAGCAGAGTCGGCAACAGCCATGTAGCAAACATGGTTTGTGGTCTCCTATTTACTTCCCACAGAGTGCTAATCATTTATCAACCTGCAAAGAAAGAAAGGATAGCGACGCGACCGGGCCTCAAACGTAGGAATATTCGGTTCTGAGTCGGACGCTTCATCGACTGAGCAATCC